TATGTCAGGGCTTCATGGAAGCACACACACTAAAAAGTACCTACTCCTGACTTTCAGTCCTATAAGCCTTATTCTTCTTTAAACCTATGATGAGAGCGATTTGCAAATAACACTGCCTCCCACTTCCAGGGAAAATGCTAATGAACACGATGCTGCCTGCACTCGGGCACTGGGACCAAAGAGGAGGACTGAGCCAGTAATTCATGAACTGCGGACCAGGCTGCCGACCACTCAGGAGTTGGGGCTGTTGGGGTTTTTATAGTTTCTCTTCTGTATTGTACCCTGACACTCTTTGGAACGGCTGCCGATCAGGTGAATGGGGCAAGAAGAGAATCGCACTAGGTACATAAAACTCTTAGCTCTCGCCCATCACTGGGAGGTCTAGAAAAGACATCCACTTAATACACGCGAGCGACGTCTCATGCTAAGATGTGTGGGTCCAGGGCCTGGTTGACTTTCTGCACACTGATTTTAATTCATAATATATGCCTTTTCTCCCCAGCACAAATGGACCCTCGAGGCCTATCTCCCAGACAAAGTAAAAGTGACAGTGATGACGATGACCTGCCAAATGTGACCTTAGATAGCGTTAATGAAACTGGATCTACGGCCCTTTCCATAGCCAGAGCAGTACAAGAGTAAGTACCACCTTCTCAGGATGAAACGAGACTTGCCAAGGTGTTCGATGGATAATGGAAACAGCAGCCTCTCCTGTTCCCCCGGCATGTTACCCTCGCTCTGAACTGGCACGCGGGCCAGCGTCTTTCCGTGGGGCCCCAGGCTCTTTGGGAGCATGCAAGGGAGAGACTGGTGTGCTTTAAGTGGTTGAAGATGTGTGTGTTTATTAGAAGACAGACCTTTCTGTGTATCTTTGCTATCTCTTTGATCCTGCTTCTTAACACTGGGGTGGTTGTGGTAGGGGGTGTTCTCTGGAGTGTTAGTATCCAGTGGTCATGACTGTTATTTTGCATAACAGAAAAGGGAAAGAAAATAGAGTCCTGTCTTGTTCTGATAGAACATGAAAGAATAGATCTTTTGAAAATTAAAGTTTTCAAGGTAACATGTTAGTATTCTGAAAAATAAGAAGTGTATGTACTTTTTAAAGAGCTCTTGTCTCTGTCCTCTTCCATGGACCATGGGTTGTATTTGAGCCCCTGTGTGTACTAAAAATGGCTACTTCCCTTCATTGTCAACTCCATATTTCTAGAGTCTAACCATATGTTTTCTTCTCTAAAATAATTGTTTTTAAGCATAACCTAAAAAAAGGGGACACGTAGTGTAGCCATATCATTGCTAATACACGTTAATTAAATTAGCTCAGTATGGTCTTGGTTCCTGCCCATAGGATAATTCCTTTGCCCCATATATTATTAAATACTTGCCATGTATTAGGCCTTGAAGCTAAATAATAATATATATTTGTGTAGCCTTTTATAATGCACAGAGTACATGCTAATATGAATACAAGGGTAAGTAAAAATGAATATGAGAATGTTTAAAATAATTGCTACCAGAATGTCAGTTTGTAAACTCATAGATTTTTGTTCTGATCAAAGTATGCTTGATCTTGTCTCTTTTGATCGAGGACTGGCTGTCCTTAGCCCCATTCCAAAAACAGACTCTGGCGTGGAGTCATTTGCCATTCGAGGTGGCATGGTGGCACGGCCCCGGCTTTCCAAGACTGTCATTCTTTCCCGGAGTAGAGAGCCTCACCTTCCCCCTGCGGACCTTGCCGCTAACAGCCCAACTCACAGCCAAGACACCGCCAGCGTGCCTTCTGGTCCCATTACAGTGCCTGGGGCTGATGGTGATCGACATGTAATGCCTCACCCCCACCCCAAGGGGATGAACAGCTAACATGTGGCGAAGGGAGATAGCGGACAGTGCTAGATATGAAAATAGTGATAATTTATCATTTATCAGAGGTCCATGAGGGTAGGGGAGGGAAGGGAAAAAGAAGAGCTAATAAAAAGAGGGCTCAAGCAGAAAGAATATGTTTTGGAAACAGTGATGGAAACATATGTACAAATGTGTTTGATACAGCTGATGTATGGTTTGTTATAAGAGTTGTAAGAGCCCCAATAAAATGATTTATTTTTTTAAAAAATCCCAGTCAAAACAGTGGCTTCTGAGGAGATCGCTGAGCCAGCGAAATTCCAGACAGAGTTCAGCAGGGAAGATTGTGGTGGCTAGGTTTTACCATTTCAAAGCAATAATCTTGATAGCTTTTC